CTACAAAAGGTGCATTAGAAAAAGCTGATAGAAACACACCTAATGACTTCAGCACCTGGTCCTCAGACTTTCATCCCCATCTACTTAATTGGATGTTAGAAGGGTGTTTTAGGGGGAAATTGTTGCATTAGGTTTTCATCATAAAGACTTGGGCAGTTTACTGTGAATTCATCTGAATCTGATCTCCGAGCACAGCAATCTAAAAGCAGTTTGACCTACAAAAAGAGAAGCTAACCATCACAACATCCATATATACGCATTGTTTTTTTTATAATTGATTTTCTCAAGAACTGCTTCTGTTTAATTTTAATTTGATTTTTTTGCAGGTTGGTTCTGAACTATGACAACGTCCTCGGCCACCGTAGCTTCAAATTGATGTATGTATTTTACAGATGTGTGTTTATTCAAAGAATCAGCGATGCTGTTGGGTCCAAACCAGTGTTTGTTGATTTGATTCCAGCTTCGCAATGAGCCAGCGCCACTACAAGGTATCTGCACGCCGCTGGTTCACTCTGGACGCTGTGGAGCTGGAATATGACGGCACTAAGGCCACATTTAATGGAAGCAGGAACATCTACGCCCCCGCTGAGTACTCGTTCCGCTGCAAGTCCGTCACCAACTTCCGCTGGCCACTACTGGTCCCGCGCTCCGCCAAAGACCCGGCTAATCAGTGGAGGGTCTCCTTTGAGGATTTCCAGGTAAGTTCACCTCTACTCTGTCAGCTGCTAAAGTTGTGCTTTTGTTTCGATGGAAGAGTTTGAATAACATTTCAAGATGATTCCCTCAGATCTGACAGCAACATGTTCAAATGTACTCCTCAGAAATGTTTTTTCTGTTGAGATTAATTTAAAATATAAACATTTAGAAACGTTTTAATGAGTCTTTTTGGACATTTATGAAAATAAAATGGAATGTGAGCATTATAGTAGAAATTAAGAGTAATAATGAGAAGAGGAATCTATTTAACTGCAAACAGTCTATTTACAAATTTTAACCCTTTAAAGCCCGATCCAAGAATAAAAC